CCCCAAAACCCCAAAACCCCAAAACCCCAATCCCCAAAACCCCAAAACCCCAAAACCCCATTTTAATAGTTTATATTTAAATCATTTTTGTCAATATAATAATTATGAAGAAATTTTCTCGCAGCGGAGACCATCCTCTAAAAGGGACAGAAAGGGTAAGTCTCCTTATGATAGGACTTATAACTGGCTGCTCAGTCCTTGAGGTTCACTAACCTTGGCATATAGAGAAGAGTAATGCAGTCAGTTAACCCCTCAGGAAGCTTATTTGATAAATATGGCATCAGAGGTACTAAATCTAGCCAATTTTATAGCCACTCAAAAGTACAAGAACAATAGAAATCTAGCTAAAATTTATTGTCCAAGCCAACGCACTAATAATCACACTGAAAATAAAGGGAAAATGGTGTGAAATCCCTTAGTTAATTCTTTAGAGAACCAAACTGCACTGTGTTTCTGAGGAACGGGATTTTGCCATCCAAAATGGGTAATTCTGGACCAAACTTTGTGTTAATCCTTTAGTCAGAATCAACTCCCTGATTTGACAAACCAGAAGTCCAAAGTGAAAAGGAAATCCAAGCCTGCATATAGGAGCCATAATGTCTCCCAGAAGAGAGGGAAGATGAACTCCCATTATCCTAGTGCTGAAAGATCAGAGGAGAATATGATAAACAACTTCATTTTCGCTGTAAGCTATATTGAACCAATTCCCTAGGTTGGGGAGAACCCAGACCCTTACCAAGATCCTCATCCTTCCATTTTCTCGTCCAATGTAATGTCTAAACGGAATAAGACAGGTGAAAGAGGGAATATACCCAACCGGCTAATCTATAAACGCCAAATTAAGAAAAGAAATGATAGCCAGAGAAAGAATATTGATATTAATGATAGGTTTATATTTTATCAAAAGTAACCTTTACACATTATCATAGATCTCCCAATATTAATCAGCCTCAACTTGAACAATTCAAACAGTCAACTTCTGCAGTCCAAAATGAAAGAATAGAGAGCTTCCAAGTCCAAGGAAGTCAGATAGGCAATGTTATGAGTCCAGCCCCCAAGCCAGTGATCGTGCAGAAGTCTAAAGTTTTAAATCATGCTAAACCTATGGGAATAGCCCAGTTTGGTAAAAGTTCAAAATATGGTATGGTATTCGCCAATAAATCAAAGCATCCTTAGATAAATTTTGATATCTCAATCACTGGCTTTAGAGACTTAATCTTCTAGTGCAATTTTGTCCTTTGGGCTATATATTAGAGTTAACCTGATTGATATTCCAAAAATCAAAGTGAATAACTTTAAATAGATGCCATCTACAAGCAGCCTATGGCAAGGCAGAATTTTAAAAAGTCATTCCACGATAGAAGGTCTAAGAAGACTTCCAGCTATTTCATTTCTCCATACGACAACAAATCTGTTAAAAATAAAACATTTTACAAAAAGGGTATTTCTTCGTGTAAATCAATAGGGAATAAAGAACCTCGGAGTACCAGCACTAGTTGGAGTAACCAAATGGTGATGAATGATCGGATAAAGCAATACAAGGCATCGAAATCTCCTAATATGTTCAATTTCCAAAAGAAAGCTCCATGAGATGCTACTGATGCTGGCAGCAGCCAGAAGGCTGCTACCAAAGCAAAGTATGATTCATAGAGTAACCTTTATAGGAAACCGAGCTTGCAGCCTATTAAGAAGATACCAGTGCCTAAGATCTCTGGGATAGAGTCCTTATCTCCAGTGTCTCAGGGATCACCGAACATAAAGAAAATGGAGAACTCCATTTTCAAGATTCAAGGAATGCTGAAGCATATGGATGATCTCTTAGTTCCAAGACATGTTAAGGCAAACTCAGAATTGCTGAAGATAGATCAGGAAGCTGACTCTGGAAGAGTTGACAGTAGCTTCCAGATGCCTCAAAACTCTGGTAGGGAAAGTGATCTTGTCACCTTACTCAACATTGAGGATGCCAGCAGTAGTGTGGTGTAGACAGTCATTACTAGAGGTGCAATTTTATTTTCAACTTCAGCCAACAAGCTTGGGGTTTTGGGGTTTTGGGGTTTTGGGGTTTTGGGGTTTTGGGG